TCAAGTCTTGTGGGGCACTGGATGCACCTGGAGACCATAGTGTTAATTGAAGTAAAGGCACACCTGCTCCAATATGGTGTGGTTTCTCTTATATGAGAAACCCAAATAATAAAGTGCAAATAAAAGGTAATAGGAAGTGGGAGACCGATCTTTCTCCAACGGGAGAGGATCAAAAGACGGAGGGAGGGGAAAGAGATGAAAAAAGGGGACTAAGATGTGTTATGCACACAGGAAAGGAAACATTATGTACTGTAATTATGTACCGATACAGTTGTTTAACGTATTAGTAACCAGTAGAGCTGAGATCCATTCCCAAGAGAGATGATTTTTAAATCTCATTCTTTATAAGAGATCAGCAAGTTTTCAGCTCAGAAAATAGACCAAAGTCCTTCTTTAGGTTTTCTGTCGAATTATCAATCATAAGAGCTGGTCACTCTTTCCTTAAAGAGATAGGAGACACGAATCGCGTCCTTGGACCCCAAGGACAATACAGTCTAATTGTCCATTTTCCCAGCTTTGGTTTGCTTCGGTCTTGGAAGTAGTCTCCAGTAAGACCGACCATCCCAGCCTATCCGTGGAACAGGGGGAGGCTTTATAGACCAGCACATAGCAGTGTTTCGCAGAGGAAAGAAAGAGTTTGGGAGGCGGCACTGACCTAGGTAGGGCCGGGGGGCCTCCGGCAGAGAAGGAGGTTGCCTTCCTCAAAAGCCAGCCACAGCCTCTGCCCCAGTCCTGGGTGAGCAGGTCGGGAACTGGGCCGAGCTTTCCCTCCGCGGCCATGGCCCAGCAGCCCCGAAGCCTGACCAGGGGACGCGGCCCACCCCGCAGGCTCTGGGAAATGCAGCTTCCAGGCAACGCAGCTTCCAGACGCTTCCACCAAGTGTGAGTGGCTGATTCCGAATGTTCTGGCCTAAAACATCTTCAGCTTCTCTGGGTTTTCTTCTTTGGGCTCTTTCCACAATAAACACACACGTAATTTGCTATTAAACTTTGTAAATTAAATTAGCCATAGGTTTTTAGAGATTTGCCAGAAAAGCTAGTTATTCCACAAAGCATCACCAGCAACACCCTAGTGTCCTTGTTTCACTGATAAGAAGATCCCAACAATAAGAGAGTAAATGCTCTGTCCTTACAAAAACAAGTTGTACCACCAGTCCTTACCAACTATGAAAATCAGAGCAAACAGTATGTCCACAATATATAACCTGCTTTGTTTTTGGTTTTTGGTTTTTTTTGTTTGTTTGTTTTGGTACCAGGGATTGAACTTGGGACCTTTTCGCCTGCCAAGCAAGCTGCAGGACCACTGAGCTAAATCCCTGGCGTATCCTGCTTCTTTTTTGTTGTTTTTGTTTTTATCTGAGACAGGGTCTCACTATGTAGTTGAGACTGACCTGGAACTCACTGTGTAGCCCAGGCAACTCACAGTGATCCTCCAGCCTCAGCCTCCCAAATGCTGGGATTACAGGCGTGCGCCACCACACCCGGCTTATCCTGCTTCTAAATAGCTGGAATTAGTATTTATTTCTGTTTAAACGCTACATTATCGTGTGGTGGCACACGCCTGTAATCCCAGCACATGGGAGGCTGAGGCAGGAGGATGGCTGTGAGTTCAAAACCAGGCTGGGCTACAAGGTGAGTTCCAGGTCAGTCTCAACTACACAGTGAGACCCTGTCTCAAAAAAATAAAAAATAAAAAAATAAAATCTACATTATCTATAAATACAAAGATTGCAAACAGTGTACTACCTCAGGGTATATTTATCCACTGGGGAGGCTGCTGGTGGCCAGTTTTGCGTGCCAGTGGCTAGTGTGGATAAACTTTTATGTCCTGGGGCACAGTTCTACTTGTGTTTCAGCACAGCAGGGCTCCGCACTTCCTAGAGGGCTTGGAGGGTTAGATCACTGTTTGGAATTGACTCGTGGGCAACTGTTCCCAAATTAAGGCCAGCCTTTAGGTCCTCTTTATTGAAGATATTGAATCAGGTACTCTGTGATGAACTCAGTGATCTCTGAAGTTTCCTAGATGAGCTTTGTCCTTTGAAAAGGACTATAAAAGCCACATCTTTTCGTGTTGATTTGTGGCTAGTGCACCTGTGCAGTCCATAGCGGCCGCGTTCTTCTCCGAGCTGGATCGAGTACGCAACACGTCTTCGTCTTGTTTCCATCCCATCCCCTCCCCTCTCTCTCCCTCCCTCCATGTCTTCGTCCCTTTCCCATTTGCAAAACATCCACCTCCCTCTTTCCTGTTATCTGTCTTTTATGTTGCTCTTTATTTCTATTTTAGGTTTCTTAAATGAGAAACCATGTGGTGTTTAAGCTCGTGTGTCTGGTTAAGAGGTATCTTTCACTGACTGATAGCCTTCAGCACTCTTTGGAACAAGAAAAACTCAAGGAGCACAATTGGGCTTTTCTGAAGGAACACTGGAGCCCAATGAGAAAAACAAACTACAGGAACGGGCTGTCACCTTGGTCTTGAATTCTAGGGGACATGAGATACATTGAGCACTTTCAGGACTTCTCTTTGGGTAGATGCCCAGTCCAGTTTGTAGGTTAAACTTAAACTGAGCCCTGTGCTGTGCGGTCTTGCTGTAAATTGAATGGTGGCATATGGAAGGCTGAGGCAGGAGGATCTCTGCAAGTTCAAGGCCAGTCTGAACTGCACAGTGTGACCCTGTCTCAAAACAAAAACAAAACAGGGCCAGGGATTTAGCTTAGTGGTTCCACTGCCTGCCTCGCAAGTGCAAGTTTCCCAGTTCGATCTCTGATACCAAAAAACAAAACAAAACAAAAAAAAACTAAGGGTGACGCCGTTCCTCTGAGAGATTCATCCCAAGCGGTGTCTCTGGCGGAACCTGGTTTGGGGAAGGGGCAGAAGCCTGAGGCCTCCAGTGTAGGGGCTGCTGCTCCCTGGAGTCCAGGAGGTCTCAGGGGACCCCGCAGACCACCTTCGCACTCGCCACGGCTCCTGAGCGAGCACCGTCACTTTAAATCTATGCAAATGAGGAGGCAGCAGCCAAGTCCCTGCTCCCACGACCCCGGTCTGGCTGTGGCCGCAATGGGGGATCAGAACCCAGCCTCGCTTCCCATCCCGTTAGAGGAGAACCACGCTCCAGTTCCTGTCTCCCCGCTTGGGCCGCCGCAGGCACCCCGGGCATCCTCTCTCCCATCTCAGCAGCGTTCGTGTTCCCCGGGACCCCCACAAAGTTCCCGCACGTGTCCCGCCCATCTCTGTGCTTTTCAGAAGAGAAAAACACACGGGGATTTTCCAAGCGTGAGTTCTTTTTTGAAGATGGCTCCTTTCCTAACACACAAAGGGCTGGGTAGGAAAACAACAGGAGGGTGTGCGGCGGCTCAGAGAGGCTTCGGCTGCACCGCCCGCTTTCCCTGGGCCACACCGGGCCGGCTGACACCAGTCGGAACCGCCACGCAGGGTCGTGCAGAGGACAGTTGAACTTTTTGCCTGTTTTGTCCATTGCTGTGGCCAACGTCATGACGTCATAACCATGTGAACATTAGTTGTGCAAGAAGAATGTTGGAAGCGTGCGTGTGTTTTCAGGAAGGGCTCTCGGCCGTGTTCACAGTGCCGTGTGCCCAGAATGAGGACACAAACGCATCTGGGGCGACAGATGACCCACGCGGGAGGAAGCGTGCTTCTGTTTATTTTGCTGTGGTGATGGGAGCAGTTTGTTTTAGAAACATTTTTAGCAGATGCATCACTGATTCGAAGGCATATTTTTAAGTACAAAATCTACTAGGTAGCAGTCCAAGAAAGGCCCGGTCCAGGAGAAAGTGGAGAAATTGAAAAATGATCACAGTTGCCAGACTCGGCGGAGCTCAACGCGGGTGGGCGGGGCCTGTGCAAACGCTGTGTGGAAACCAGGCGGACTGGCGCCGCCTGTCCTCCCAGCACTGTGGGAGGCTGAGGCAGGAGGATCATGAGTTCGAGCCCGGCCCAGGCGACTTAGTGACTATCAAGACCCTGTCTCAAAAAAGAAAAAATGGAAGGGTGGAGGGGGTGAAGGGAGGGCTGGGAAATGGGAAAACTATGAAGCACGATACATCATGTAAAGGTACAAGGTCCCAGTGATGAATGTAACTGTACTGTGTACCTAAAATGGACCAGTAAATTTAACGAAGATTAAAAAATAACATAACACTTCACATATGATTTAATGTGAAATTTTAAAAAACCTTTAGAAGTTGGAGATGCAGCTCAGTGCAAACGCCCTGGGTTTAATCTTCAGGACCACTGAGAATAATGATAATAGTAATAACTGTAACATTGTTCACAGTTCTGTAGGCCCTGTACATCTCCTCCCCTTCCTCCCCTTTCCACTCCCCACCCCTCCTCTCTCTCCCTCTCTCTCTCCTTCTTTTTCTCTTCCTTCTCCTTCTTCTCTTCCCCTTCCTCTTCTTTTTTATTTTGCCCTTTGAGACAGGGTCTCCTTATGTAGTTCAGGCTGGCCTCAACTCATTTTATAGCCCAGGCTGGTCTCGAACTCACAGCAACCCTCCTGCCTCAGCCTCCAGAGTGCTGGGATTACAGGCTTGAGCCACCACACCTGTGTATGTTCTTTTTTTTTTTTTTTTTTTTTTTTTTTTTTTCTGGCTCCCAGGTGTATGATGGCTTCTAAGTGTGTAGAAATGTTAGGAACCCTAGGAGAGTACAGATTTCACAAAATGAAGATACCTATTCATGTTTTCTGAAAAATCTTCATGTTAAGCTCTTTCATTTGTTAGTTAGCTGAGAAGCTTGGTTCCATCTTTGTGGATGAATTTGAGAATTTTAGTGCCAAAGAAGATTCTCACCGGCATCGAAGTGGAAACCCTGGCTGAACAGAGACCGCAGGAAGGAGCTTGCCTATTTGCCGGCCACTGTGAAGGCTGAAGTCACCCAGCTCCTCAGAGGGCTTTGTGGAGCCGCGGGATCCACAGCGCCCCACACGGGACAGCCGCAGCGTCCCACCCGCCCCTCTTACGCGGGGCTTTCTCTCCCGCAGGGCCTCTACGTCTTCGTGGTGTATTTCGTTCTGCACAACCAGACGTGCTGCCCAGGGAAGGCCAGCTACACCGTGGAGATGAACGGCCGCCCGGGCCCTGGCACCGCTTTCTTCACACCCGGCAGCGGGATGCCGGCCGCGGGGGAGGAGGTCAGCAAATCCACGCAGAACCTCATCAGCGCCATGGAGGAGGTGGGCCGCCCGCCCCCGCCCTTGTCCCGCTGTCCTCTGTCCCTCTGTCCCTCTCCTCTGGCCTCCCCAGCTCTCCGCCTTCCTCCTCACGGGAAGGATCCGATGTATGACGACAGGGGACTCCCGGACCCTTTGCCTACTGCCATCCTCCGCTCTCCGGGGTTTTTATCGGCGCCTGTTTGCAGGCCGTGATCACGGTCTGTGGATTAGGTCACTGTTCTGAGTTAATGCATGCGAGACCGCTTCTAAAACAAGGCCTTCGTGGAGTCATCTTTGATATTTAATTACAATCATGATGATGAAATCAGTCAGCTCTTAAAAGTTTTTTTTTTAGATTTTTTTCCTTTTAAAAGCAATATAAAAGATATGTCCTTTTTGTTTTTGATTTTTGTTTTCTGAGACAGGATCTTGCTACGTGGCCCAGGCTGGCCTCGAACTCATGATGAGCCTCCTGCCTTAGCCTCCTGAGTGCTGGGACCATGCCCAGCTTGGTCTCTTTCAGTGCTTATTTTTATCAGTACACAGCGATCCTATTCCTCGCGGGGAGCTGGTCCGTGTACGTTACACACCTTCATTACTGCTTATTTCCTCTCCCCTCCCACCCCATCCGTCTCTTTTGCAGAAGTCTATCTCCCAACTTCCTGTTATCTATCTTTTATTTCGCTCTTTAATTTACGGATACTTTGGGCTTCCCCCAAAGAGAAACTGGTGAGTCCGCCTCAGAAAGGATTCTGCGCACAGCAGTCCACCCGAAAGCCTCCTTCAGGCCCGGGAAGAAGAAATCAGCAAGCGTTAGGACAGCAGCCAGGACCCCCCGGGACTTCCCACCCCACTCCCACACCCTGCTCTCTGCTGGTTTCCTCTGTGTGAATCACGGGCCTCGCACAGGGCCACACCTGAGTCCACTGGCCAGGAAGGGACAGGCCTCACGTCCCCACGCCTCTGCCAGCGGGGCGGCCCGGCTGCTGTTCACGGGCTGATGAATACAGAGCATGATCAAAAACACGGTGAAAGCTAAATTTAAAAGTAACTTGTTACAGTTAAACAATAAACCCTGCCATTAATCCCTGTCTAAATCCTCCCCTCGCTTTCAGCACACTTAGCCCAACTTCCTGCCGCTCTCTGCAGCGGCTCTGGAGTGCTCCTTCCTGAGTATCTCTCGTTGCGGTGCTGGCTGCCCAGTGTCCCAAACGATTCGGTCTGCTTCCCTTTTATGATCATTTCGACTCTGGGGACGAGCGGAGGGTGCAGAGTCGGATCTGGCGCGATGGAGGAGGGCCCTGTGAGGCTGTTAAGACTCCTTTGTGCCGGGGGGCACCTAGCAGCAGCACTCACCATGTATTTTATTAAAGTCGTCAAGACCCCCATGAAAGAGGATCCAGAGCTGCTTCGGAAAGCGGCGCGAAGGCTGGGAAAAGTGTGTTCAAAGCGAGGGGCGGGATTGTGAGGGACTCAGGACAACGCATCTGCTGCCATAAATTCTGCAAATATAAACATTCACCATATGGCACGGTCTCCCCCGGCACTTACAGATACCTGTATTTAAAACGGGACGTTTTAGGTCCAGTACTGACCTTTCAACAGCGTTCCCTTTGGGCACATTATACAAAACCTTTACACGCATTTATTGGATTAAAAGCTAGTTGTCTTTCTCCACGCACGCCAGCCTGGACATCGGCGTGGTCCTGGAATACAGAAATCACTTAAAATCCCCGGGATAGATGGGCTAGGAGGGTTACGGAGGGAAAGGAAACTGAGGGAAAGGGTCATGCAGTTGGCATCACTCAAGAACTCGGCGGCCTTTCCGGCCTTGGTGCTGCCCTGAGGAAGGTTGCAGCCCTCCCGGCCCACACCCTGCTCCCTTTCTGCTCTGTGCCTCCCGCAAAGGTGCCGCCCGACTGGGAGCGCGCGTCCTTCCAGCAGGCCAGCCCGGCCAGCCCTGACCTGAAGGCGGGCACCGCCTTCCCCTGCCCCGGAGGCTTCAGCCGTTTAAAGTGCAGTTTTCCACGGGAAACAGCTTCTCTCGCCGCTTAGCC